TTTTAGATTTATATTAAATATATTTACTTTTTTAGAATCGAGACACACTCGTAGGAGAAATCGTAATTTGCCTACTATGAGGCAAATATGAAACAGAAGGAAAACTGTGACGAGCCTGTGAGGTAAAACTGAAATAACGGCAAAATCGCGACGCGCCTGCAAGGCTATAAAAATTTCGGTTTTTTTTCTTATCATTTCGTTTAATTTCATTTTTTTTTGTATCATTCGTTTTTTCTTTTCTTATCGTTCGTTTAATTTCATTTTTCTTTTTCATTTTTTCGTATCATTCGTTAATTTCATTTTTCTTTTTCATTTTTTCATATCATACATTTAATTTCGTTTTTTCTTTTTCATTTTTTCATATCGTTCGTTTTTTCTTTTCGTATTGTTCGTTTAATTTCGTTTTTTTTTTATTTTTTCGTATCATTCATTTTTTCTTTTCGTATCATACGTTTAATTTCATTTTTTCTTTTTCATTTTTTCGTTTCGTTCATTTTTTTATTTCGTTTCATTTTCCTAATTTCGTTTTATAGTTTTCGTTTCAGTTTCTTAATTTCATTTTTTTCGTCTTGTTTAGTTTTCTTTTCAGTTCATTTTTATTGTTTATTTTATTTTTATTTTATTTTAAAAAAAATTTAAATTAATAAAACTGTCGTATAACAATTAACAAATTTCATGTTAAAATAAAATGACTAGAATTTACAAAATATTTCTGGAAAAATATTATTATAGTAAAATTATATTTGTGTAATGAAATCAGTAATCATCTACTATAACGAATAATTCGTTAACACTATAATAAAGATTCTTATAATGAAGTCCTGATCGGCTGGATCAGTAACTTCGTTATATTGAGGTGTGACTGTATATGTTTCAGGCTGGCTAAATTCTAGAGGTGAGATTGCATTAGTATCATTGGCCAACTTATCATTTACCTTATTTTTTACCGGTGAGTCATATCCAGTTTATCTATTATTATTCTCATCATAACCATCCCCATCATTTTTCTTACCATCTGAATTGGAAGGAACTATTAGTTTAAAAGACATAAAATAAGACTGAATGAAATTAGATTGAGCTATCAGTCTATTTGGATAACTTTCTTTGCTATAACCTATTCTTCACAAATTTCACATTTTCGTATGTATGCTTTTTTCTGAAATAGATCAGTTAACTGATTTACATTATTCCAAGTTTCTTCAAATCCTTTTTCAATCCTATCAAATCTAGCAGAATTATTGTTTTGCTGTAAACGAGGTCTTTGAAAAGGTTTTATAGAATAATTAGAGTCTAAATCTTTCTTATTAAGTAGATCTACAGTCAAACCTTGATATAGTGAACCCTTGATATAGCGAATTTTTAAATCAAATATATTAAAATTACCCTTACTATAGTGAACTAGCCAATTAAATTCTTTAAAAAATTTGTTATAAGCTTATAACGAAGTTGATATCCAGATCCTAGAATTCGTTATATCAAGAGTTCACTGTACTTCTTTTAAGTATTCGGCTACATAATAATTTTTGAGACTTTGCTCTATTTTCAATGAAGATGGTAGACCTTTTGGCTGTTTAATTGGTTCAACTATTTGTAGAGTAGGTACTTGCACTTTCTGAGCCATTTAAGATTGTAATTCCGAAACTTTTTTTACTAATGCCTGATTTTCAGTTTTTTTGTTGTGCTAATGCATTCTGAATTGCTTTTTACATATCTTCTAAAGATATTCCTTGCTGCAGTAAGGCTGAAACAGGTGAAGATTCATATATTTGCTAAGATGCTTGATTAGATATTAGTATTAGCAGATTTGATATTTTATCTCTTTTATGTCTAGCTATTCAGCGTAATTCTACCTTATAAAGCTTTAGCTAATTCATCCAATGGCAAATGTTCACTAATATCCTTAACTTTTTTAAGCTATGAAAGTAGAAGGGCATCTAAGAACTTCTTATATAATTCTTCAGATCTATAGTTAGCCCACCTTCCTATTCATAATATTTTTCTATATAATTTATCTATAATCATATCTTCTTTTCTAATTGTTTTATACATCAAATCCTAAAGTTCATTTTCTACTATAGGAAAATGAGTTTTTAACTACTATACGGTTTGATTAAAATAAATTTCAGCTATGACTACAGTATTACCAGCATTAGCATTTGGCACATTTGGTGTATTATTAGTAGAACAACTACCTGCTATATACCAGTTTTCATCCTAAAGACCTTCTACAATTCTTAACTTAACTATTATATTTCCAGGTTGATTAAAGGCTTTATTTATTCCATTAGCTTCTATTTGAACAGCTGTACGTCTATTTATAACTACTAAGTTAGCTTACCCTATATTATCAAGTAAATTTGCTAATTTCCAATTTTGCTTTATAGTAATCTCATCATCAATCTATTCTAAAGTTCTTCCTTTTATACAACCTCTTAAATATCCTATTATCTGATCTTTTCCTGCTGGTAAACCTCCCGCATTATCAGCTAGATCTACACCTTAATTTTGCAAGTATAATCTAAGTTTCGCAAGAAATTAGAGATATCATCAACCAGTCAAAAAATGGTTATGGTATTCCTACCATATTTACTTGATTAGGTGGATAATTCTGTAATACTAAAATTTGTCTCTGCAAATTTAAAATATTCTGGCAAGAATTTTTTCTTTAGCCTTCCATTTCTCATATTGTTCATAAAGCCTATCTCTATTATATTCTAATAAACCTATATACTCTCTACTTTGCTATTCCTTAAATTGTCTAGTAGGCAAATTTGCCTGCGAAATTAAAAATAATTGTTAATTTCTTTATAAAATATTAAATATTAATTTTAGTAATATTA